AGACTGAAGGTTTGACTAAGCTGTGATGTTACACCTGTAGTGACCCCATTGACCTTCTAACTGCTTCAGTAAGTAAAGGACTGTCCGAATCTGAAACAGTGAAAGAGGAAAGTATTCATTAATTCCTGTCATGTATATATGTGTTTGTAACTATCGGAAATCACTGGTTTCACAAAAACCATCACAGATATGACAAACAACACGTTGATGGTCACGAGAAGGCCAGTGTTTAGCTTAATATTTCCTGTTGATTTAGTGCCTAGTTTAATGATAATTGACAGGTGTTGTCAGGTAGATCAGTTTAATGACAGATGACCATGGTAATATGCAATGACTCAGTGGTCGGAGTGATGCCAAATGATAGACCACTTTTTGAACTAATAATCACACTTTTCTATTGGCATATTTAACATTGAATGGTAGGTAAATGGTCAGTAGAAGTCCATAGGTCAACGGTCAGCTTGATAATCCTTAGTAGTCCATTGTTCAGTTTCGTTGCTTTGTAAGAATAATGTCAATATGATTTGGTTTATCATAGTGAAGCTATGGGTCAAAGGTCATGTTTCAACTTCATGATGACAAGTATATAAATGGTCAGTAGAAGTCCATAGGTCAACGGTCAGCTTGATAATCATTAGTAGTCCATTGTTCAGTTTCGTTGCTTTGTAAGAATAATGTCAATATGATTTGGTTTATCATAGTGAAGCTATGGGTCAAAGGTCATGTTTCAACTTCACGATGACAAGTATATAAATGGTCAGTAATACAAGTTGACCCTCAGATAGTAAGTTAACCCTTCGGTGTATTTGTGTTTGGTGAGTTCAAACTCACTTTGGATGACAAAAGATAAAGTTGAAAATGTTTTTGTGTTTGGTCAGTTCTGAATGAACTTAATGAATATTTTTTTTTATTACCACGTATAATTTATTATCTTATTATTTATATTCTATTTTGTTTTTCTTATCCTGTTTCATCTTATCTCCAGATTTTTAGTGTTAACTTCACAATCAATGTAAGATTTTACTAATGTCTCGTAGTTTTTAACCATATTAATTTATTGATAACAAAGACTATACTTTTGTAAAAGAGAATCGAACCTCAGAAATGAAACTAGATGAAATAAATTTCAGGAACTATTGTTCTAAAGTGATTATTAAGATCTTTTTTGTTAGCATAAGTTGATAATTGTATATTCGTTCATCTTGAAACTTTTATTTAGGTTCTTCTAAACACAGAAGTTCTTAAAACTCATTTTAGGCTGTACTTAAAAATTGTGTTTGATACTAATTAAAAACTTTTGTGATGCAAATTATTTTCAAAATTTAAGTAGTCAAAAATAAAATAGATAAGAATTAATTTTATTTAAAAAACCTTTTCTAAATTATATAAATTTCCCAGAACGTAAACTGTTCAGTTACTAACGTGTGTTAATAATTACTTTTTTAATGTTATTTTGTTTCTTGTCTAAGCACAGTTGAAAGGTAGAAACTAACATTTAATATCATATATAGAATTATAAGGAAATTTATGTTTGTAATATTACTTGGGGATTATGACACAGTTTAAAGGAAGAAATTAACATTTAATATCATATATAGAATTATAAGGAAATTTATGTTTGTAATATTACTTGGGGATTATGACACAGTTGAAAGGAAGAAATTAACATTTAATATCATATA